TATATATATAAATAATAAATACTTTATTTTAAGAGGTTTTACTAAACAATATTAACATGTAGGCAAGCTGGGGTGTGGTGGTGCACTTGGGTGCACTCCAGCACTGGGAAGCTGAGGCAGTCAGGTTTCTGTGAGATCAAGCCAGCCTAGGATGGTCTACATAGCATGTTCCAAGAATTCTGGAGCTACATAGTGAGAACCTGCCTCAAAACAAATAAACAAAACAAACAACAACAACAACAACAAAAACATATGTAGGCAAGACGAAATCTCAGTCTTTAGAGATCATAGGGGAAACAAAGGCATGAAGTTACTTAACCAAGTACCTTAGGGATCATCTCACTGGATGCAATGGGGATCGGGGTAGAAGTATAGGTGGATGGGCCCAATGACTGTGGAACCCGGGAAGAAATAAATTTATTGTATTTCATTGCTGAATAAATATGGTTTAGGGATGCAGACATCAAGCCAGGGTGTGTAAAATATCACAAATCCTTGCTTTAATGTTTCTTTGGTGTATTGATGTTCTCATTTTCAGGTGGGCAGTGGTTATTCCGATGAGGCAGCCTTGATCCTCCACAGAAAAGGATTTGACTGCCAGTTCTCCAGTCGAGGCATGGGGCTGCACTGCTCTACTTCTCAGGGAAAGGTAAGCTAAAAGGTTATGCTTACTAGTTAGCACAGTGTGCTTTGAGATCCTCACAGGAAGATGATCTGTCATTGCCTCTTCACTTACTCATTCCTCTCAGCCTACAAGTCAGCCAGTTTCCTTATCTCCAGAAAGCACTCACTGCCTTCAGTCCTGTTCTTGTTGTTACTGAGATGCATGGCTGGAATCTGCACATTTTGAAAGCAACGTTCCTATTGTGTCCTTGATCTTCCATTTTGAAACTGCAAAGCATCTTGCAAAGCTCCTTTGGGCCGCCCATGCTCACATACTATGTAATCAGCCATGGTATAACGCAAGTTCCATGGAGGCCAAAAGTTTTAAAATAACTGAAACTGATTGGCATAGCAGTAAGGAAATGATGGTGTAAACATTGAGACTGTGGTCAATGAAATAATTGAGCACAATCCACATGCAGCTGTGCAGAGCGCCAATCAGTTGATTCATCTTGAGAAATAAAATGTGTGTCTGGGTATTCTGATTGATCCAGATTTGAATATGAGTCAACACTGTGCAGACCAAGTAACTCTTTAGTCTGCACCCTGATGGTTGGCTGCCTGTTCTTGATTTCTCCTCAAGTTGGACTTCTGGCAGTTTGATAGGCCTCCAGTCTCCTTCCTCTAAGTGAAGTGGGACTCAAGGCATCTAGGATGCTTCTTGCACTTAGCCTGTTCTGCCTACCTAGCAGCTCAGCTGTGCCAACTTTCTGCCAGATCACAAAGCCACACCATACAACTGACTCTAGTAGTCTGGCCCCAACTTTACAAATTGGTATGTGTGCTAAGGTATGAAAAGAAAGGACAGTCTGGTAGGGACCTAAATACACTTGGGTGGATGACTTTACCCCACTTTCCATGCCATTGTGTGTGTTTTTTCCCCTCTCTATTATATTCCACCTAGTTTCCTTATCTTCAGAAAGCACCCACTCTGCCTTCAGTCCTGTCCTTGTCATTATCAAGATGCATGGCTGGAATCTGCACGTTTTTGAAGGCAGTATTCATATTGTTTCTTTGATCTTCCATTTTGAGACTGCAAAGCATCTTACATCTTCTCCCCCTCCTATTCTCAACTCCTTTGGGCCCCCCATGCTCACATACTATGTAATCAGCCATGGTATAACTCAAGCTCCATGAAGGCCAGGAGAAGAATATATAGGGCTACTCCTATATTTCCACTCTATTAGCGATGATCTGAATATGTATGGTGAGTCTTTTAGTATTAAGGCATTGAATCTAAAGGGGTGTAATGGGGCATATAACACAGAGACACACATTAGGATAACCTGGCAAGGGTGAAAACGTATTTTCCCAATAACTGTAGATTGAGATCAGCAGTATCATGATCCTTTGTTGTAACTGGCCTGTGTCCTATTTTTCACCTTTGTTGAAAAAGAAAAAATAGTGTAGAATCACCAATATTAGGTTTAAATATTGGCCAAAAGAATCAGATGATTCTCAAGTCCTCAGGGACTATGGGGACCCGTAAGCTCATAGATTTCCATCCCCATGCAATATCAGAAGGGGTGTAGAGTGATGACCTGTGGCCACAGGTCTCTCCAGGGATACTTCATATGTTCTGCAACGTCCCTCCTTCATCTTCCTTACATGAGAACTGCAACATATAAATATATTCCTTTCCATTCTTTTTTTTAAACTGAATTTTTAGATATGCTACTAATCCTCTTTCAGGGTTGATCTAAATATGCAAATTTGTCATTGACTTTTTTAGATGCCAGTACAGAAACTTTTTGGCAAGTTTGCTGTGGAAAGTCTCATTCCTTCATCGTTATCCTTGATGCATTCACCTCCAGATGCCCAAAATATAAGTGAAATCAGCTTGAGTCCTATGGAAATCAGCACATTTCGAATCCGATTGAGGTGAACCTGACCTTCAGATTTGAATTGAGAAGCATTGGCTTTTTACCTTTCTTGATTTAAAGTGCAATAATGAAGCACATTGTTTTAGCTTCTGGCTACTGTGAGAACATGAATTCTGTGATTTTTTTTATTATTATTATTACCAGTATAATAAGAAAAGAAAAAGAAAAAGCCATGCTATCAACCAGATTTCTTTTCAAAGTTTGTCCCACAAACAATGACTGTCAGTGTGAATTGATGCAACAAATGAAGAACTATTGAAAGACAATCCCTCAACAGACTGTATCTCAGGTTAAATGCTAACTAATTATGTTTGCGTTGGGGGTTGTGAAGAGATTCTTAATATTCACATCGCTGATCCTTCATTAATTTTATAAAAATACCTATTTGACCAAAATGGGGTTGAGGGGGGGCCGAAGTTGGTGGGTAATAGCTTAGTGGCCAAAATGGTTGTAATCATTGATCATTGATAGAAATTTTTAAATTTTCGTGTGTTGAAGTATGTGGAAAAGTGCAATCCCTCAACCTTTATGATAAATGTAATTGATTTTCATGCCTTTTCCTAATGAACCTCTTGACTGTCCCTTTCCTATCCATATATTTCCAAAAATAACTGATTTTTGAATCATTCGATAGTAGAGAGAGGCATATTTTCATTACTTGACAATGTGGGATAGGTGCAATTTATTCCATTGTCACTAAAATAGAAGAAGCAATTCCATTGGTACCGTAAATCTATTTTAGGTACCACAAGGTGTCTTTATACACAGCTCATTTGAATACAGGTGTTCTGAGGCGGGGTTTTCTATTTTTAAATTACCATATCAAAATAAATGTGCCTTATTTTTTTATAAGTCTTGTTAAATCTTTTGGTGTCCATATTACTGTTCGGGAAAGGGGGGATATTGGGAGGCTGGGGCAAAAGGGTGGGTACTTTCTATGACACATATATTATGTAATTTTCGCCTGATAATGCTGGCCACATTCTGATCTGTTTCATTAAATTTGTGGTGGTGTTACTCTAAACATTTTGACTATTTGAATGTACTGAGATGTCAGAAAACAAAACAAGGAAGAAAAATATTGTTAATTAAAATATGCTGCTGCCAAGGAAACTGCAACTTGAAGCAAGGATTTTGTAATACACAAGATCCAGATACTGTTTGCATTTCACAGTAGTTAACCATATTGAAGAAAGAATGCTTTAAAATAGACTGTTTTGCAGTCCACCATGTGTAGCTCATCTTGATGTATCTTGCTAAAGAACATGTCTGTTCAGTCAATTCCAACCTTCTCTATGTGCTAAACTCAAAGTGTTGTTCTAAGCCCATGTGCCATCATAGAACTTTTTAATAAAGTCTCTTTAGGATCATTATTTCCTTAATATGAAAATAACAATCACATTCAATTTCAGCCTAGAAAGGATGTTTTGGGTCTGTACAGTTTTGAAAAATTATTTTTGCTGTGCTAATCTCATTTAGTATTGTCTGACTTTAAACTTGAGTTTACCTCCCACCATTCTGATACCCTTACAGAGAAAACAGTTTCTGTCTCATGCATTCTGATTATCTTCTGGATTTTTCACTCAAGATGCAGCTCCTATGATCATCGTTACATTAAATTCATAAACTCTTTGCCTTTAACCATTAAAGAAACAATACCAGTGTTGACAACAGTATTTCAAGGGGGGTAATTTCATGCAATAAACATGTGATGTCCATTTCGTTGCTCATTTCTGGGAAAATAAGCAACTGAAACACAATAAAAAACACTTCTTTCTGTGGGCATCTACAGACTTTAGGATTGCCGGAGCAGATCCCAGGAATTTGATGAGCATCCTCGTTGCATCTTAAATGTACACCTTCCTGTGGACATTCACTGTGTTCTGTGGTTAAGTGGGTATACTTAACCACTCTGGAAATTCTGATCAGATGAGTGAAAACTGATGCAATAACCATGGCTTTGCCGCTGGGTGTTTGAGGTAGACCTGCCCCTTGTTTGTCAGGGTTTGACCTAGTGTGTGCTGTTACCACCAGCTGCTCACAGGTGAAGCAGAAATTCTCTTTAACCAGCAAGTTTCTGCTTTTTAAAGTTATTTTCAGAGTACAGTATTAGGGAAGTGAAGAGAAGATACCCTGTTTTTAAAGCTTTGGGCGATGGTCATAAACTGACTAAATAATTGTGTGTTTGGTCCACACTTCAGCCATGATCTCGGTGGTGTATTTGTTTGGTTAGATTTTATTACATTTGTTGTCACAGATGTTCAATGGACCAGGTAGTTCCATCACTGCCCTCTCCCCACTTTGAGATTTTAATTTGGTTTTACAAGTGTATTGTTCAAAACTCAGCATCCTTGTTTTCTACAAATATTGATTAAAATGCTGTAAGATGTTGTAAAGCATTGTAACTACCATGCCCTGTCTTTGTTGTGCTTGTGCTGAAGTGTCTTCACATTCCTTTGTCTAGAAGAAAATGTTTACTTTCATTCTGATTATTTTGCTCACCTTGGAATCAACAGGTTTTGATATTTTTCTCTTGGAAGATTTTTATATCTTTTTAGGAATATGTAATATAAGATCTCTAATAAACAATAATCTTATCCTGTGCATGGTCTTTTAGAGTGCTTAATCCTGTTTTGTTAACAGATACATGGGCACATTTGTAGCACAGAAGTAGAGTGGAGTACTGAGGGCCTGTTCTTTGTTCCTTCATGAAGGAATCATCTTTCTTCAGCCCAGCTTAGTAGAAAAGGTACTTCTATGAAGCAGGTGTCAGGACCACCTTTGGATTGAAGTCTGGACACCTTCCCACAGGCAGATAGCTCCATCTTCAGCCAGCTAGGAGATAGGGAGATGGTGGTCATATTTCATGTACAGTCTGAACAGGTCAGAGTCAAAGAGGGAGGTAAATCAGATTAAGAAGCTAAGAGGGTCCCTGTAAGTTGATCCAGAAAATAGGGCTAGTAGAAAGAGGATACTAGGGATGACTGCCCTCCCCTTGGACCCCCCAGTCCAAGCTAGTATATAGCTGTAGTGGCTGGGGGACAGGGGAATTCCTTGAAAATTTGCCAGTGGGGAAGAGTAACGGGTAATATCCTGGAAGTCTGTACATGCATGCTGACTGAAAAACTTGGGCTTATTTCTGATACCATGAAGTAGAGAGATTAAATAATTTATAATATGTATATACAAATGTGTACCAAGCTAGAAAAAATAAGTAAAAGATTTCACAGGGAAGTAATGAAAACGAAGTCCTTGGCTCCATGTATTATCAACATGATAAAATAATTTGTCATAAAATTGATAGAAATCTTTGGTTTAGCTAGACATCTGTTTATAACATCCTACAGACTTTGACATGAAGCCAGCTAAGGCAATTGTGATTTGGAATGGTTGGATCAAAGCACACAGTAGAGAAGGAATTACAAGTGGCATGTAACTGTCACAGAGCAGAGCACAAATGCCTCAAGCGGCTATAATGAACAAGAATCCTTCAGCATCAATGGGCTTAATCTAGAGCGATGTCCTCAGTAAGTATTGTTCATGGGTAGAGAGCACTCCAAATTCAGCAGTACCAATGTGAGGTGCCCTCCAGGTTCTGACTTCATCTCTTGATTTTGCTTTCCCTGCATTGTCCTCATTTCCAGGTTGTCTGTTTGATGGCAGCATCCCCACCAGAAGATTCAGCCCTTTCTCCATCTGAGGACCTCAGTAGAAAGGGCACCTTTATCTAACTGTTTTTAGTACATATTGTGTAGTTAATGGCATTGACTCTCCTCTGACAAATGTGCCAGCGATTGCAGTGAGGACATGGAGTTAAGAATCACATAGGCACATGGAAGAGGCACCCTGTCCACAATCCATGGGAAATGGTATTCTACAACCAGGGAAATGGAATTTGGTTGATAAGGGTGCTTTGGATGGGAACTGGTGCTTTGGAAGACAAGCAGGCAGAGTAACAGTAGAAATGCAATCCTGAGAAAACCAAATATGGATTACAGATTGAGAGGAAGCAGAAAGCACACCTGATTTGACTCCCAAGAAAGGTTTCATAAAAGAAACTTTGAAGTGATTCATAAAAAATTAATCTGATCTTAGCAGATAAAGGTTTTAGGTGCATTCCTTATTAAAGACCAAAATTAGGAAAACATGGTGACATGTAGCACAACCTTACGAACTGGAATGAGTTCCTTCTCTCTGTATAGAGATAGTTAAACCTTGGCAGAGGAAAACTCTGTGCATGCATTGTCCAGTGTGGTAGCTACTAACTGTGTATCTTGGGTGTTTGAAGTATGGTCAGTGCAGCTATTTTGAGCAGCATGTGGTCTCTCTTCTAGAACATGTGATAGTGTAAGAGACTACAATTAGTGACTGTAAGCGAAAGTTTAGGCTGTCAATTGTACTAATAACTGCTCCTACTGTGGTAGACAGACCAGAAGCATTTACCTAACCTAGAAACTTATTGGAACTATAGACCCTTAGCCCCAACCTTAGACCTAGTAAATCAGAATCTGCATTTTAACAAGCTCCCTAGAGAATCTGTGTCCTCACTAAGCACAGGCATAACACAATTTCTAGCAAGTAAGAAGTCAACATGTTGAACTTTTCTCAGTAACTCTTAACAATAAAGTCCAATGCCCTACAAACTCCAGTGCCAGGAAATACCCCATAAAATATGTTCATGCCCAGTTCCAAGTGCCAAGACCGTATGTAGTCTGCGGCCTCTGCCTCCTAACAGTTGTCTGCTTCTAGTCCTACTGATTTTAATTTCATTGTAAGCTTAGGAAATGCTGTCTGACCAGCCAGCCTGTCTTCTGCCGTTCCCCATCTCCCTGCCATCTATCTTTGTGGGTCTCTCTACGCCATATCCCTCCTCATAGGAGCATGACATGTGGCAGCCCCTCTCTCTCTTGATCTTGAGTCAAAAGTCATCTTAAGAATCTCCCTTTGACCAGTGTATTGTAGCCCCTCCTCCGCTCCTCCACTGTTGTTTTCTTACCCTGATGCTCTTTCTCAGAGCAGAGCCAAGCTTGGCATCCTGTAAGTTGGAGTTTCCCCCAGAATGCAAGCTCTTCATCTTGTTAGCCAGGTAGCCTTTACAGGTAGAGCACATGTGTCTACTAGTAAACAATATGTTCAGACACGGCTTTTCAGGGTATCTCTACTGTCCCTAACTACCCTATACATTTTTCTCAAAATGTTTAATATAACCATGATTAATTCATTATATTTCAGGGGGAATGTTTTTTTTTTCCCCTTGAATATAAGGTGGGAAGAAGGAACTTAAAAACTGCCAAATGATCAATGATGTGAGAACTAAAGAAGATTTCAAAGTTTCTTACCCATAACTTGCACATACGCCCCAAAGAGTGTTTTAACTCAAATGTGAGATTAGGTTGGCTACTGTGATGTAAGATGATCCTTCCCAGTGTCACCTCAAAAACCAAAGGCAGAAAATAAGAGAAAGAAGGTGCTGGATGTGGGAGTAGTGAGTCAGTGGTGACTGGCTTCTCTGGAGTATCTTGCCTTTAAATATCCTCAGACTTTTTTTCAAATAGATTCATATCATTGAAGGACTAGGTATGAATTTCTGAATATACAAGCAAAGGAGGCAAGTTGGAGCAGTGTTGAGTAAAAGTATTTATTTTCAGGATTTTGGTGTCCTTAGCTTACATGCTCTGTGTTGCTTTCTACTTTTTTGTTTGTTTGCTTGTTTTCATTTGTTTGATTTAATTTGTAGCTCAGCCATGCAGCTTGCTTTCTGGACTCAAACCTATATGACAGTATTAGCAAAAAAGATGCGTGCCTGGGATCTGGAAGTGGAAGACTTCTCTAACCCAAAGAGATGCCTCATTGGTTGGCTTTTCAAGCCCAATCTGAAGTTAGGGATTGGTTCTTGTTTTGGTCCAAAATGACCCCTCTGGAGCAGACAACTCAGAGCACTTGCCCTTCTTGGGGTGGCTTTCCTTGTCATATGCGGAACTGAAATAAATTCATACTGACTGTATGAAGTGAGCTCATCAGGAAAAAAGGCTGTGCCTAGCTCACATCTTCTTAGATTGGTTTTCTAAATGCAGTAAATTCCACAAATTTCACAAACTTATGGGATATCTTTAATCAAGCCTGAAGGCAATCATTTGGGGCTTTATTTTTTTTTAATCATATTTTCAATTAGCAAATGTTAGTCCAGTTTGTCATTTGTGCAAGGAATCTGTTCTGGGTTCTGGGGAGCAAGATCATGATAATCTTTGGTCAGAAATCCTATTGGAATTAAGGTTCTCTGAGATGAGAGAGCAAAAGGACCACATTAGAGGCGCAAATGACAGATGCTCTGTGGTTGCAGAGGAAGGAGATCCTCATTTTGTGTGGAGAGATGAGGAGGGAAGACCAGGAGGTAGAAGGACCTCAGATGAACCTAAAAGATAAGTTCATCATCAGTTAGGATTGGAGAGGAGAATGGGTTGGCATCAACAGTATGAAAGCAAGATTTCTCAGGCGTGGTGGAAGTTTTGGGAAGGACAATTTCTAGAAGTTAGACTGGCGTTTTTTTTTAAGAAAGACTCCCTAGACTCCGGATCTAAACTTGGTGCTCTACAGAGGGGGAAAAATGGTAGTCTGCATATTAATATTGATTTGAAAAATATTTAAGAATCTGAAAAAAATATGCATATTGTACTTTTCAGAAAATCTTAAGATAGTTACATAGAATTATTTTCATCTCTGTGAAGGAAAGAAATGCATATCTGAATTTGTGATTTTTTTATTATAGCCATGTCATATTTCATTAAGGCAATTTTGAAATTTAAATGGTTTATACATAGGTCTGTTGTCTCTAGAACCCTGTAATAAAAATAATACAATGAAATCTTATAAGTGAAATAGTTAAAATATAATCTAAGTTTGGGGAGAACAGTTTTATAGGGAATTAAAGGACTTTCATTCATTAGTCCACAGTCTATTTTAGGCCATGTGTCTAGGGTTTAATTTGTCAACAATAAACTAGGAATATTTGCCACACAGATAAGAGGTTAAAGAATTAATAAAACACATTAAAATGCTTTTAGCTTTGAAAGTAATCTATACTATTTTAAAGTTCAATAGAACCTTGTCATGATGTAGTCTCTAGGGCCTATGACATTGAGCTGTAATAAGACTTTGCAAAAAAAAAACCTACATTAAGTGAAGAAACTGAACCATAGTCTCTCAAATCCCACCCTGTTTGCATAATGGGAAATAAGAGAGCCTTCAACAGAGTTGGAGTGGAGACATGGGCTCCAGTTCTTGATGCTTTGACAAGAAAAGTGAAGCTCTTTGAAGTACATAATTTAAATTAAAAGGAAGCAAGGCAGCACTGACAAAAATGGCCGCTCTTTGAAACGCTGCACCTGGTTGCTTTAAAATCGCTAGAAATAAACAATGAAAACGAAAGCTGTTCAGTATTTAAAGAGAAAACTACCTATTTGAACAGCAGGTGTCAAGGAGCCAAGAGGTTGTCTGGAGTCCAGAATTGTCCAGGGTTCCAAAGGGAAGACAAGCTGTCTGTCTCAATCATGCAGAGCCCTGAGTGTCGAGGGTGAGGCTGTGTCTGCAATGGTGACACTGAAGTT